TCGATCTGGGTGTAAAGGAGCAATTCTTCAACTTCGACTTCGACTTCCATTAACATGAATTCCAATTTCAATTCCATTACCAGAAGAACAAGACCTCTTCTTTCTCCTCCTCCGCCACCGCCGCCCAATCCCGACCCGCCTGGCAACAACCCACCGCCAGTAGAACCACCTCCTGGACCCACCAACAGGCTCCGACCCAGAGCGCCTGACCCGGATTGACCAACGCCCCGACTTCCATGGTCAGGGATATCTTCAGAAAGAGCTGGACTTCCGTGGCTCCGGCAGTTTCCGCCACCCTGATCACCGTCGTAAATAAAAACCCAAATTTGTTTGGGGATTGGTCAATTCCGCCATGGGTAGACCAAATTATGCCCCTTCTTCCCAATCGCAGCCACTGCTCACCTAGGCTGCAACGTGCAGCCGTGACCTTGTCGCCACCACCATAGAGATGAGCACGAAGAATTGAACATTGACGAGATAAAGAGTAGGTCGGCGATGACAATTTTTGTAATGACAATCAAAATCAAATCCGATTACTGCCACAGTAGGTAGTTGGGTGGGTTTACGTGTTTGTGTTTTTTTTTTTTTTTAAAGTTTGTCAATTTTGTATTTGAGGGTAAAAAGGTAAGTTTGTGGGACAAAATTTTTAAGTTGGGTGTGAAAAGAGGATTACTGGGTCTAAATAAAATTTCCCTATTCTTAATCGTGATCATTATCTTATCATTATATCTGCTTCGCGTGCTATATATATAGAGAATTATTATGCAATATAAAAAATATTGTGTAGCTTAACCAAATTAATTAAAATTCGTCTAACAACGCCTTAGAAATGATTTTTGAAGACTTAACAAAAATAACAAATATAATTTTGTACTTTTATAATTCAAAAATGCGTTCAATAGTTTAATTTGAGAATAATTTTCTAAAATGAAAACATCAAAAACGTATTCGATAACAATATTTAAGATGCCAAAAAATAATAAGTTCATATTTGATAGTAATTTATAATTAAGATGGTGGTGGAAAAGATGGTGATTACAACTGATGTTAGTAGCAATGGTGGTTGGTTGGAGTGGTGGTAATAGTGGTGACAATAGAGGTGTCAGTACTGGTGATATATAGGCAATGTCAATAGCGAGGTAGGAGCAACGGTGGAGGAAGTGGCGGTAACGATGGTGACATATGCTGGTTGTGTTAACAATGATTGTGACAGATGATTGTGGAAATGGTGCTTGAAGGGTGACAAGAATGATGGTGGCAAAGGTGGTTGTAATGGTGTGGTGGCCACGGTGGCGGTAGTGGTGATGGTGGATGCGGTGGTGAGAATGCAAGATAGTGGATAAAATGGTGGTAGTGGTGGTGTTAGTGGCGGTGGGTGCATGTGATGGTGTTTATGGTGAAGATGTGGAAGCGGCAGTGATTTGTGGTTGGAGGTGGTGGTGATGCTGGCAATGTAGGTGGACGTGACTATGAAAAGACGATAGAGGTGGTGATGGCCATGGTGGTGCAAATGATGGTGATGGAGAATGTTATAGTGGTGATGGCAATAATGACAATGGTGGTAGCATACATGATTATTTTTTCTTAAAACTGTAGTTTTATATATCATGTATAAACCTTTATGTGTTTTTTATTTTATGAGCTAATCTTCATAAAATAATTTGTGAAACACAATTTTCACCCTTTTTTACATATGCAAAATAAAAAACTATTTTGCAAAAAAGTTAAACACTTAAGCATTCCTGAATGTTGATCGGTTCATAATTAGTCAAATAAATGGAAATGATTTTTTGAGTTAAAAGAGATGTGAACAATAAAAAAAAGTATATGAATAGGATCATTGTCTCTCTTTAACCTTTCCACCTGTCTGCCTTCTGGAAAAAAGAAACCCTCCTAGCCGCTGCTCCTTGCTCCTGCTTAGGGTCGGCAGCAGCCCAACTCCCACCTTTTTTTAGCCATCCTTCATTCTCTCTTCATTCTCCACCCTTTGCATCTTCCCTCTTCCCCCATCTTTCCCTCATCCTTTCCCATTCCTTCCCACATTTTTCTAGCCCTCCTTCCCTTTTTCCCATCCATCTCCACTCTTTACACCTTCCTTATCCCCCTTCTTTCCTTCATCCTTCCCCCATCATTCCACTCAAAAAGTATATTAGTTTCTGAACTTTTTCTGCTTTTGGTATTTGTTTTGGCTTCCCTTAAGCTTTGTTCTATGAACTATGCTTTAATTCCCATGAGATGGTCTTAAATATGGACTTTCATGGCATTTTCCTGCTTCGGTGCTACTTGTCTTGCTTCCTCAACCACTAGCTTCTGCTACTTGGCTTGTGTGCTTCTTCTCAGTGTTGGGTGGCTGTCAAACTGCTTTTAGCACTATTTGGTAGGATTATGGGAGCCACACTGCGCGGGTGGCTTGCTCACCCTCATTTTCCTTTGATCCAGTTGTTCCGTTAGTTCGTTCATTTGGTGGTGGTGGTGGCCTTGTGATGGAGGTGCATTTGGTGGCTGCTGGTTTCCGTTCCAGTCTTAGGGTTTTGTTGTTGCTGTTCAACTGGCCATTTTTGGGCCTATCTACTGTATTTTCTTATTTACTGTTAGACTTGTATTTAGGTAGTGGGCTACCTTTTGAACTGTCTTTTCCCTGTACTTGCCTTTTTATTTAATGAAAGTAAATTAGTTTGACCCAAAAAAAAAAAAAGATCATTGTCTTAAATCTTAAAGATCACATGGGGACGATAGCAGTACTGGTGTTCGGTGAAAAATAAGGTAAGAGAGATCCGATCATCTGCTAAAACTTAAAAAACAGTGATTGGGATTGGGTACTTGGCCCTTATGGATAGGGACTAGTAGGGGTAGGGTACTCGTGGGTGTTTCTTTTTCTTTTCTTTCAATGCCCTTTTGATTTTGGGAGTAGGATTCTCTTCCTTTCTATTCCTATCATCTTCCCCTCTTTTGTCATAATTTACTTTTTATCTTATTTTCTCTATAAAAAAATCAATATAAGATGTTGATGTTGTTTAATTATAATCGTTCAAGTAGGAGGGGAATGAAGGAAAGAGAATCCTCCTCCTTGATTTTGGTATTGTACAAAAAAAAAAAACCTAGTTACTCATGTGCGCGTATAATGGAATACCTTCACATTATCGGAAGGAGCTAGATCCTGGGCTAAATAATGTTCAAGTTGAAGGTTCACGAGCATCATCCATGATCACATGTCCCATCTACTAAATCACAACTTAATTTGGACTTGGATTTTTTCGATATGCTCATAAATAATAGTCAACAAATTGAAAGTATTTTTCTTTGCGTGAATATCCTTTCAATGGGAACTGGATGAGTCAATCTGCCAATATGCTATATCGAGAGTTACTGCACGTATATGTATTGCTTGCAAAGTTCGTTATTCACAAAATTAGAGAATCTTCTATATTTTAGTCTAACTGACATGATGCTGGATCTCATTTACGGCAACAAAATTAGAGAAGTTTAAAATTACTCTTCTACACCAAACCAAGGACTTAGTTCCTCTCTAGGTCATTCTATGTGGAGCCTTAGACCATTTAATTGTGGTCGTTCAATTGTTTATTTTACTTTTTCAAGGGTTTATTTTACTTTTTTAAGGAAACGAGTAGCTCGCTTGACTCTGACTTGTGCCATCATCCAAAGGGAAGAAGTAAGAAAAAAAGGTCATGAACCAAGAGACTAAAGCCAGTATTCTTGAAACTAGGGCTTATGTCTCTAACAACAATCGATTTGAGGGAGATGTTTACAAGGGAAAAAGACATGATTTGAAGTGCAGCTATTGTGACACACTCGGGCATACAAGAGATATGTATTAGATCATTCATCCAGAGTTGAAGCCTAGGTGCTTGAAGGAGACAAATGGTCCACAAAGAAACATGAACCAGCATCAATGCCTACAAAGCCAATCATGCAGCTACTTCTTCGACTAAGGGAATGAGGAACTTCACTACCAATCCTGTTACATTAATCAATGAATTTGTAGCATACCTACACAGCAAACAAGTGTATAACAATGAAGATGCAACTCATATAGCTGAAGGGAAGAATCACACAGCTCTACTTGGAAAATTTGTTGGTTTATTGGCTGAACATGACCATGTTTTGTAGAAAGATATCCTAGGTATTTCAAGTTCTTCACTGCCCTACATGCTAGTAGTGATCATGATTATTGGATCATAGACTTAGGAGCCACATATCACATGACAAACCAAATTACTAACTTGCATGATTTTGAAAAATTGTCAAAACCTTCTCAAGTGTCAATAGCTAATGGTAAATGTGCCTTACTTGTAGGAAAGGGAAATGTCAACTTACTTTCAAAACACATAGAGTCAATAGCCCTCTACATTCCTTCTTTTCCCTTTCAATCTTTATCAGTAGGAACCATCACCAATTCTCTAAACTGTCTAGCCATTTTCTCCCATCACAATGTTATTTTTCAGGATATCATTACCAAGAGAGCGATTGGTGAAGGTTTATTTTTGAATGGGTTCAACATCCCTTACTTTGACTACATGATTATGTCGCTTATGCTTCTAGTTATCCTCTCACAGATTTTGTGTCTTATAAACACTTTTCACCCTCTCATACTTCCTTTTTTAGCACCTTCGTTAGTACTCATGAACCACAAACATTTGAAGAAGCAAATGAACTTGAAATTTGGCGAAGTGCGATGAGGGATGAACTGTAAGTCCTTCATGATAATAGAATCTGGAGTGTAGTTAAAATCAAGGGGGAAGAAAGCAGTGGGCATTCGTTGGGTGTACAAAACAAGTTCAACATAGACGGAAATATTGAAAGACACAAAGCCCGTTTGGTGGCTCGTGGTTTCACTCAGACTTATGGCTTGGATTACAAGGAAACCTTTGCTCCAGTCGCTAAAATGAGCACTGTAAGCAGTGTCGGATTCAGGATTTTAACTTAGGGTGGTCCCAATATAAAAGTTCCAAAAAAAAAAAAAAAAGAAGACGAAAATATCATTGAACAAATAAATGGCAAACTACAAATTTCATTCATAATCTTTGTGCTAAACAAGCTAGAAATACTAAATTTGTCCACGACGGGATCTCATACTTTGAAAACGTGTCATGATAGTTTCATTGTCAATACAAGAAAAAACATCTTTCTCAATATAAACAACTAAGCTATCATTTAACCATTGATCCTCCATTCTGTTGCGAAGTGGACACTTAATGATATTCATGGCAGAAAATGCTCTCTCTACTGAAGCAGTTGCAACAGGTAAAATCAAAGCCAATTCAATAAGTAAATACACATATTGAAATACTCGATGCAACCTTTTTTTGACCATTTTCTTAGCAAGATCACTAATGCTTTGCAACTGAGAAAAGTCACTTTTCGAAAGCATAGAATGAATAAATATTGAGTTGATCTTCAAGTGCCAATAGGTCTTGCTTCGTAAAATCTTGAGGGTACAATTGAGCAAGGCAAAGTAGCTTTTCTTTGTCAAAAGCTGCAAAAGAATCATTTGGACTCAAACTAGCCAAACAAATGAGCAATTCGGTACTTGTTTCATTGAAGCGATCATTTAACTCTGTAAGTTGGTAATCAATGACAACAAAAAAGAGCTCCACTTTGTAACGATGACGGTTGGTCTTTTTGTGGGTATTACGGCTCGACCTCCCATGAGCTACATATGTCTCATCCATGTTAATAACCTCAATATGATGTTGGACACAAAATGACAATACTTTGTCAACCAAAAGGTCAAACCCCTCATCATTCCTCATGTAGAGTAGTTGTTCTTTACATGTGTTGGCTAAAGCCATTGCATTCACAATCTCTTGATCATCCCTTTGTAATGCTTGTGATAAATCATTCATGATTCCCAATATAGATTTCATAAAAAATAAGAGAAACATAAACTAAAAAATTGTATGTTTTTCAATAACTTATTTGCTTCAGCCACATTATCATTGGTATTATCATCAACAATCATTTCAAGCACATTGACCACGAATGAGAACATAGTAATCAAACTAAGCAAAGTACCATAATGTGAATTCCATCTTGTAGCTCCGGCACGTTTGAGACTAGTTTCTTGATTTAAGCTTCGTCCCGTCATAAGAGAATCATTTTCAAGAGCTTTCATAAGTTCTTTTTGTTGCATCTCTCTAAGTGCATCACGACGCTTACATGAAGCTCCAATATTATTTACCACATTATTAGCCAATAGAAAGAATGTGTTAACATCAACATTATTCTTTGCTACGGCAACAAGAGCTAATTGGAGTTGATGAGCAAAGCAATGAACATAGAATGCACAAGGTTGATCATTCAAAATCTTTGTCTTGAGTCCATTGAACTCACCTTTCATATTATTTGCACCATCGTAACTTTACCCTCGTAAATTGGAGAAGCTCAACTCATTGAAATGAAATAAGGAATCAATAGACTCCTTTAATGTGTTTGAAGTGGTGTCGGGAACATGTTGAACTCTTACAAACCTTTCAATGACTTTCCCATTTTTGTCCACATAACGCAAAACCACCGCCATTTGCTCCTTTATAGAAACATCACGTGCCTCATCAACCAATAGAGAAAAGAACCTAGCATTCTTCATATCACTTATGATAGTTTTAATGGTTTCAATAGAACATGAATGAACAAGATCTTTTTGAATTGAAGGAGCTATTAGCTTGAGATTTTCCGGAGCTTTATCTAACATAACGGCCTTTATTTTCTCATCATGATCCGCAAGGAATTGCAAGAGCTCCAAATAGTTACCTCTATTGTTTGAAGTGTCACTTTCATCATGACCACGAAATGAAAGACCTTGTCGCAACAAAAACTTAGTGCAATCAATCGACGCATTCAAGCAAATGCGATAAGCCATACGAGCTTCTTTTGACTGTTTGACCAAAACTGTTTCAATGTGTCTTTTGATTCATTAGATTACCAGCAGCTTCAACAACTTTATTGTGAAAGCTACCAACCACCCCCACATGTTTTTCAAAACAGGCTCTTGCATGCTTCTAATTTTGAAAGCCTACCTCAGTAAAGATGTCACTGCCTGATTGTTCAAAGTTGACTTTGAATAGATAGCAATAAAAGCAAAATGCAGCATCTTTAGATATACTATATTCCAACCAATGAAATTCCTTCAACCAATTATCAACGAACCGTCGCTTTTTATTTGAATGTAAAGTGAATGGAAAATCATGATCTTTAGCTCTAAAAGGCTCCATTAATATATATGCTCTTCGGACCTCATCTCGAATATCTGGAGGATAATCCTTCATTGGAATTCTCTTTCCGGGATCTCTCTCAAGTTTATCCAAATCAACTTTTAACTCATTTTGTTGTGGAGTGGAATTACTACCAATTGGATTAGAACTACTTGGAATTGGAGGGGAACTGTTCGGAATAGGATTGGAACTATCCAAGTTTGGAGATGAACTATTTGGAATATGATTGTCCGAACTAATCGATGATGATTTTCGCTTGTAATATCGTTCCATACTTCTAATTTCTACATATATCAATTAATAAAAAAAATCTATATCAATTGATGAAACTAAACAAATATTATATGAACATTATGGCAATGCTAGAGATGCATATAGCAAAAAGGCAGACACAAAGGCAATGCTAGAGAGGTGAACGAAAACATACCTTGCACTTGTGAGAAACACACAGATTGTAGAATATATAGTTTACGCCTTCCAAAGGCTGCAGCTTGATCAACTCTCTATACTCTACGAAATAGTCCCTGCAATTCCACTACCACCTCAAGTTCAGAAAACAAGCATGGAAACAATATGAAAGAAAGCACAGATTTTTACACACCCTTTTAACATCACAAACTAGTTGAACACTCCAATTCACAATACATATAGCCAACACATTTGTATAACACTATATACTATCACATGACATTCTATACTAATAACATAAAGAAACGTGTAAATTTTTTTCTCCATATCCTTTGGCGCAAGATGACACCGAGCCGATGGACCCGTACAAATTGTTCTACTGATATGAGGCCTTATAATAGCTAGAGAGTATAGTATACATCTTTTACATAGACTAATTGCTGAGTTGCACCACATCCCATATTAGTACGTGTACGCATTCTAATAGTTCCTCAAGATAAGCGTCGTTTATATAGCCACGTTACAACTAAACAACACATGGACGCCTTATCTTCCCACCACGCGTACCCACTGCATGCATGTAATTTGCAACAACCTCTTCCCTTTTCTTTAAATACCCTTTACCTACGGCCTCCAAAACCAACCCACCACCACAATCATAATGTGGACGACTCACAGACAAGTCCCCGGCGAGCCAACCAAGACGGGGACAACCCTTCTTGAAACCTCCACTTCCACCATCCAAGCCTTCGGCCCCGTCAACAGAATCCACCAACACCTATGCGCCTTCCACTTCTACTCCCACGACAAGACCCGCCAGGTGGAAACGACCACTACTGCGCCTACCAGAACGAGGAAAATCTGAAAAAGTACAACTGGTAATTGTAATTTCAACTCTTAGTTAATGCACAACACAATTGCTCTTGAGGATTTGTTACTTGACGTGGTTTGTGTTCATCGTTATATTTCATAGTTTAATGCACTATCATAAATGAGGGATATGTGTTTTATTTCTTTCTTGCATATGAGCCTACTTTGTCTTTGCTTATTCATTTCACTAGACATGTAACTGGCTTTTTATTATTTACTGCAGATTGACCACAGGCAAGCGTACAACTATGAAATCATGCTTTCAAAGGTGAAGGTTCCGTTGAACCCGAGGCAAACGCCAAGCTGATCGGCCTTGAGTACGTCATCTCAGAGAACCTCTTCATGACACTCCCGGACGAGGAGAAGCCGCTATGGCACTCGCACAATATAGCCAACACATTACACATCCTTTTCTAGACAATTTTTGCCTAATGAACACTATGCCTGTACATGAACCCTGCCCTTATTCTTTATTATGATCCCAATAAGGCAGTGATAACAAAACTTAAGTATGCTATCAAGTTCAAAATACCAATTAACATACTGAAACTCCAGCCGAAAACAACGAAATCATCCTATAAACTCTTTCAATTTGAAACTTTAAGAATGTGATTAAATAATTTGCATTTCATAGTTTTCATCCAATACCCATTTCACAAAAGCAACCAAAATTACAAATTTCTAGAGAGAGAGACAACTAACAGATAATAATAAGGCAGTTAGAAATATAATAAGGCAATCTTTCTGACTGTAAATGGTGGAGTAAAATTATTTAAATATCTAACACCACAAACACAAATAATTTAATATCAGATTCAGATAGTGGATGGCAAAATCATTTAATGGACAGAGTTAAAGAGATCAGAGTAGTACTAGTAGAGTACAAACCTGAAGGAACGAGAGTGAGAAGAGAGTGAAGTTCTGATTGTTGTGCAGTGCAAGCAATCAGATTCAGATTCAGAAACTAGAGTGCAGTGTAGAAGAAAGTTGATTGATGTCGACGCCGTAAGGAACGAGAGCGGACCTTGTTGTGTGAAAGATTTGGTAACGAGAACGAAGAGAGTTGAACGATTTGGTAAAGTGGAGTTCTGATTGCTGTGTGAAGGAGCCGAGTTTGAGGGTTCTCACGTGAGTGAGCAGTGGGGTTTTAATTTTTTTAATGACTTGGCTCAAAACGACGTTTTTTTTGCCAAGTCATTTTAAAAAAAAATTTGGCTTTCTTCTTCCTCATTCTAAAATGCACAATGACCAGAGCTGCCATAGCTGCTGTTTTTCTCCATCATTGCCCAGACTTGAGTGGTTCTTGAAGATCATCACAGCCATTTTTTCGAGCTTCGGGTGGTCCTGGGACTATCCTGGTCCCTTAATAGATCCGCCCCTGACTGTAAGGGTTATATTATCGATTGTTGTGAATCAATCTGGGCCTCTCTATCAAATGGATGTGAATAACGCCTTTTTACTTGGTGAATTAGAGGAGGAAGTGTACATGAAACTACCACCAGGTCACCCTCAATCTTGTAATCTTGACATGGTCTGTAAACTGCACAAATCTATTTAGGGATTGAAACAATCTCTACATGCATGGTGTGCAAAGCTGAGCTCGGCTCTTGAATAGTTTAGTTTCTAAAGAAGCAATGTTGACTCATCCCTTTTTGTTTGTGTTCGTTCAGTTGGATAGTTAATTTGTTTTAATCTATGTTGATGATCTCATAGTGACATATGACAACATTGAAGAAGTTCACTTTCTCAAGCTTGCTCTTCGAAGCAAATTTGCACTTAAGGACTTGGGAAATCTTAAATATTTCCTCGATATTGAGCTTGCCACATCACAAAATGACCTATTTCTTAATCAGTGGAAATACACCCTTAATCTCTTGAAGAAATCTGACTTAAAGGATTGCAAACCTGAACACACTCCTCTGGATAGTAAGTTACAACTCAATGATCACGGTGAAGCTTTTTCCAATGTCACTGAGTATCAAAGGTTGGTAAGCAGACTTATTTATCTCACAATCATGCATCCTAATATCTCATATGATGTGAGTATCGTGAGCCAATTTATGCATGTTCCTACATCATTTCATATGCAAATTGTGAAGAGAATTCTTCGTTATCTCAAAGAGACTGTTGGTAGAGGACTTTTAATGCAAAAGAATGACAACATTGCCATCATAGGTTACATATATGTTGATTGGGTGGGGAATTCCCTTGATCACAAGTTAACTACAGCTTTTTGTACCTTTGTAGGTGGGAATTTGGTAACATTGCGAAGCAAAAAACAAAGTGTTGTAGCTCGATCTAGCACAGAGGCTGAGTATCAAGCTATGGCTTCCATTGCCTGTGAACTTATTTGGCTAAAAAGCATTCTGTTTGATCTAGGGTTTCCCAACAATGAACCTATGTCTATGTTCTGTGACAATCAGGCTGCCATGTATATTGCTTCCAATCCTATCTTCCACGAGTGAACAAAGCATATTGAAGTGGATTGCAATTATGTTCAAGCACAAGTCCAATCCAAAATCATAAACACTCATTACACTTGCAGCCATGATCAACTGGCTGATGTTTTTACCAAGTCTCTCCCTACCGTTCAGTTTCTGCGCATTCTGTCCAAGCTTGGCTCAAGGAATCCCATCTAGCTTGAGGGGAAGTGTTGAAAGATTGATAGATTAGAGGCTATCGGGAATCCCATTGACACAAGTCTAATCCTCTAACACAAGTCTAATCCTCTAGTCAACTAGGGTTCAAAGTTTTACTCAAAGTGCAATACAAAGCTAGAGTTTAGTCTTTTGTTCAATCTGCTTACTTGTGTTGTAATTAACCTTAAATTAAGGAATATGTTCTCCTTGTTATTGTAAATAGATTAGGAGTGATTTAAGGAGTGATTATCGGGTTGAGTGTTGTTCTTCCTAATCCTTCATTCTATATATGTTTTCTGTTGTAACTGGTTCCATTATGAAATATACACATAAAAAATTCAATGGTATGCTACTTCAATTTTGTTTCTTCTTCATTGGATCTCTTTTTAGGTCGAAGCGAGGGAAATTGAGGGAAAATGGAAAACTCTCCCTTGCCTTTTGTTTTCAAAAAATGAGCTGGAATCCCTAAATTTTACGAATGTTAATTGGAAAGTATCACACCTAAACCCTAAGATCGTGCGGCCAAAGTTCTTTTTTCGTTATTCCTCTATCACTTCATCTTCATTCCCTTTCTTTTGCAACAATCACAGTTATCTTCCCGAAAGTGCCACATAGGCCGCCCCCATCGCCGACTAATTGAAAGGGTGGTGTGGGTGGGGAAGTTTTTTTTTTTTTTTTGAGTACATCGATATTTTTACACTAAGGGGAGGGTGTAGTTTGGCTAAACCACACAATGGGCAAATTAATTTGGTGTCAAATTCGCCATCCACGAGATTCGAACCTAATACCTCTCACTTCAAAGTGAAGAGGAATACCACCAGACCTTAGTACTGAGTGGCGTGGGTGGGGAAGTTGAAAAGCTTAAAGGGTTGAGTTTATTTATTTAATTATGTTTAATTAGTTTTAAAAATTAAAAAAGATATATTAATTAACAAGTTTACTAGGGTTAGAAAATGATACACATGGTAGCTAATAAAGTGTATGGTAAACATACACTAAAGTTAATATGGCCCAGAAATATGTACAGATATGCAGTAGATATTACTATTTGTAGGTATGGTAATAGTAGGAGATATTTTTTAGTGTGACCGGTACTCGGAATGATACACCACATGTCATTATACATATAGTAGAATATGTGTGTTAAAAAAGTTAATAACTTAAGAAATAAAATTATCCATCCCTTCTATAAAAATACGTGATGTGCCACCTGTGTTCCCATCACAATAAAAAATTTCTCTAATAAAAGGTCGTAGTTATCAGTGGGATTTTATCTGATAATTGGAAGGAATGATTGGGAGACTTGAAAATCAACCCACTCTAATCCAAACAAATTCGCATTACTATTATTATCGGCCAATCATAACTTCATAAGCATGAGATGAGAGCACGCCCACAGTATCTATTATCCACCATCCACCGTCCGCCAGCACACAATTGAATCCACCATCCACCATCCACCATCCACCATCCACCAGCTATATTACTTTAGTCTAAAGAAAGCATTGCAATTGGCACTGTTCTTTACTGTTCATTATACCTGATTTCAGTTTATTTACAAGATAGCCACTGATGCTTTTATGTGTAGAAATGAATAGTGTTTACATAATTACGTTTTTGCCCATCACAGATTATAATCGAATGGTGGGCATGGTTTATTATGAAGGGTAGTTTTGTCCTCTCCGATTTGGGTGAGATGGGGGGTGTCGGCGGGCAGCTATCATTTGCTCCCGTTCGATTAGGGTTTCGGGGAGGGCCTGCGAGAGAGAGGGGGGGAGAGAGAGAGATAGAGGCACATAGACGGGGAGAGAGAGAGAGAGAGAGAGAGAGAGAGAGAGAGAGAGAGAGAGAGAGAGAGAGAGAGAGAGAGAGGGGAGGGGTAGGGGTGCACAGAGAGACGGCGAGGTAGGGAGGGAGGATGAGGTAGGGTTGCTTTCGGAATTTTTGTTCCAGCTGGAAGTCATTTCCACAATCATTTATGAGGGATGGATTGCAGAGAGAGAAAGAGAGGGATGAGTCAGAATCTTGAACAGGGGCATGTAAGGCCCATTCGTGCAAGATTTCATCATCCTTTCTTCAGCTCTTCTCTTCTCTCCCGACTTTCTCTCCTCACGACTCACTTCGTCTCTCCTGACTCTCTCTTCGCGACTCGCAATGGCTTGTCCAATGAATATCCGATCAAATCTGGGGAAACTAGGGGCGATGTAGCTCCAAATCATCACCAATCGAAGGTAATTTGAGAACCGTTTAAGATTAATCCTCAAATTTTGAATTTTTGTTTTATCTCCCGACAACCTCTCTCTTCGCGACTAACTACGGCTTTTCCAATGAATTTCCGGTCGAATTTGGGCAGGATGTGGCCTCCAAATCACCACCAATCGAAGGTCAATTGAGAATCGTGTAAGATTAAATTTGTGATTTGATTTTGTTGGTTTTTTTTTTTAACATTTAATTTGATTTGTGATATTTCATAATTATCCAGATAAAATTTTGATCCGATTAAGTTTTTTGATTGTGGTGATCGAAACTGGGAATCGGAAAGAAACCCCACACCCCAACAGGTATGTTCTCTGATCGTATACCCTACCCTCAACGTATGTGTGTATGTGTTAAATATTAATTCTTTCTCTCATGGATTGAATTTGACCCCCTCCACCTATTCATATTTTTTCATTGAAATTCCGTCATTATGTAATTGCTCCTTTTGGGTTTTCTGTCAAAGAAAATTTTGGAACATTATCTTGAGTGACCTGAAGTTGAAAGAATATAGGTTTGGGTTTTCCTAGAGCTCAGTTTTTATTTTTTTTATTTTTAAATTTAATTCAAAAAGTAATATTTTGGTGCGAAATTGAGTCTTTAGCCATGGAACTCGGTAATTCCTTTTTAAGATGTTGTAGGGAAAACTAAGAAGAGATTGATAGAGTTTAGAGCTGGGTGGGATTTATCAATTTTTCCTTTTTCTGATGTTCACCTGTATGTTATATTGATAGCAAGAAAAAGTCGAATTATACGATTGTAATTGGTATAGTGGGAATTGGCTTCTCTGTTTCGCTTTACATTGACGAATTTATTTTTTTCTGGGGGTGGTGTTCCGTTTGTCCTTTCTGAACGATTCTCATCAATTTTTTGCAGTTTTCTGTACAGGTTTAGTTAAAGATGGGTAAATCAAGAGTTGTTGCTCCCATAAAAGCTGTTTCGAAGTGAGCTTCCATTTTCATTTTCTGTTTTGTTGTGAAATTTTATTTTTTCTATTTTTGCTATTGGTCGGAGATCTTGATATGATCCGTCGATTTTGAATTTGTGTTTAATTTTTTGTGTTATTTTTTAGGGCATATGTGATCACTTCTATTCTGTAACAATAATGGAAGCGGAAGCAAGAGCTGAATTTGTCTGCCAAGTGCAATCGCCCGCAAAAGCAAGTTCAAGGTTAAATCTTAGCTCTCTTCGTGCACGGTTTACCCGGAAAGTAACTATTTATATATATTCTGCTCTTTTAACTTATCAAGTTATGTGGACGAAATTGTCTTTTTGCAGCTATATACTTTGATTAGGAAGAGATTGGTGGGTTGAGCCTTTGCCTGCAGGTAGCAAGACTTTTCATCTATTTATTTTGCTGATTTATTTTTTGGGATTTGAGTTTTTATCTCCTGATTATTTTTATTTTTTGCAGAGGTATTACTTTTCCTTTGACTGAAAATTTTAGGGTTTTTAAAGTATAATGTTATCAAATTCTATTTTTCTAATTTTCTGATTTTGGGCTTTTGCAGGGAGTGGTAATATACTGAATTTTTGGGATTTTTGATCTTTGCATGATTTTTGGTCTTTGAAAGGGGTATGTGATGTTTTTAACGTTTTGGTTCTCATCTGTTCCGTTCTTTGATTTCTATTGTCTGCCTCCTTCTAGGTTGCTTCGTGATTTTCATTTTCCATTGTTGGCTTATGGAATTTGTAAAAATGGTTGTAGTTTTGTGACCCAATCGCAGTAAGAGTATGCCGAAACACAGATTAGCATGCAGTGAACATACATTGAATTTGAACAAAATTTAATATATAAGTGAAGGCATATGCAGTGAACAAACATTGAATTTAAAATTGATAGGGTAGTTAAGCTTCTTCCTTAGTTATTCTTTGTCACTCACTTTTGGAATTTAATTCATTGATTTCAACGTCACTCATGTACTCTGTCTTACTCTATTCACTCATTTTTAGTATGCACCATTGAATTTTTTTTGTCATATATTATTCACTCATTTTACTCTATTCACTCATCTACTACACTAATGTTGAGATTTGGGTATCATTTGTTTTCTCATATGTCCTGTTTTTAAGGGAAATCTAATATATAAATGGATCCAAAAACTCCTGATGTAGCACATTGAATTTGTTCAAATATTGATTGTTTTCCCTCTATTCACTTCAGTTGTCGTCTTCATCTTCGTTATTTTTTCAATGGAAAAGCTGGACGATCCATGGAGCACATGTTGTTGAGCCTTTTGCCACTGCTGGTCTGGTCCAATTCGAAGGAGTCGGTGGAGGCCCTTTGGAGGAGCTGAAAAATCAGTCTCCAGCTCCATAACAAATCGGACATCGGCCCGGTACACTACTCTTCCTGCTTTCATTTTTCAAATTTTTTTGGAATTTTGCGCTGAATTTCATTTGGGTAATTTGTGAAATTTTGTTTTTTTTTCTTTTGTTAGGCAGCTTTTGGTGTGCCTGTGAATGTTGATTCGGCAATGCGTTTACAATAACGTCAAGAGGGAAGAGATTCAAAAGATGTTCCCAGTGTAGCTGTTTCAGAGTTGAAGAGGCTGTTGATGCTTTTGCTGCAGAAGTTTCAGCGAGAATGACGGCGAGATGCACTCAAGGATCAGGTTAGGGATCTGCGTTGTTTGACATTTCCGTGTAAACACTTTTGAGCATGAAATATATCTCAAATTTGGGGTCGGGTTTGGGATGCTAAAGCTGAAAGTTCTTTTGGCTCATACATTAAAGCGGCATGTGCTTTTGGCTCATTTCTGTACAAAAATTGAATCTTTGAATCTGCTTATTTATGTTTTGAAATGAGTGTTTGTTCTTACTACTCGAAGTGTTTCATGTGGAGATTAAACTTTGAATCTGCTTATTCATGTTTTGGGAATGTTAATCTTTTTAATTTTTTCTTTCCAGGGCGAAAATAATTAACAAAATGAATTGTGACTATAAAGTTAATTGAAGCTCTGAAAAATTTAGTGGTGGAAAAGGATGATAGATTACTATTGTTTTTTTTTCCTTCCTATACAAAAACTACCTTTGATTTTCTTGATTGTGCGTTTATTTAATATGTGCTATTATAATCGTTCCCAATATAATGGGATTAAATTGGGACTAAATGTATCATGATGCTCTTTCCTTTTCTTCTCAGTGTAAGCATATACCAAAACAACAAGGCTATGGTGAGGGGAATAATTGTTTTTGGGTTTCGTGATTTTATGGTTTCTCTGTATCATCACATAATAATTGTGTTTTCTTCAGCAGAAAAGGTACGCCCTTTTGTTTCGTTCGACTTGAGGATTTGCACAGGATTTTGAGTTCAGGGTTTCGTATTGCATTATTAATTTTGGTATGTAAATTCTCATCTAATTGGATATTATTTTTTTGCATCATAGGTAAAATCGTTGTAGTTCTGAATTTCTTTTCTTCGATTGATTTTGGCGTGTTTGCAGCACTCAGTGTCAGGTTTTGAGATCAACGGATCAGCTCACTGCTGTGGTCGATGTTGGGGAAGGTGATGCGATGTTAGAAGTTGGGCTGGGAACAGGTTCTTTGACCAATGTTCTTATTAATGCTGGTGCATTTGTGCTCGCAATCAAAAAGGTTGTTTGAATGTCTGTGTTTCTGTGTTTCTTCTTTGAATGCAATTACAATTCTGAGTTTGTATTTGTTGCAAATTCGAGGAATTAAGTTGGTATTGCACTGATTATGTGTAATGTTTTATGGGCTTTAGGATCCATACATGGCTACTCATGTGAGTGAGAGATTTGCGGAGACTGACCGGCTCAAGGTAAAGCCATATTTTTGTCATATCTCAATATGTCTTATGCTACTAAGAAATCAGCTCTTCCCTGGCATTCTGGACAATTGGAAATTAAGTTTTATGCTTTTATGTTTTTATTGCCAATGCCATTGTGATCACTTTAGCAAGTTTTGTCACTTAAATATGTAGGTTTTGAAAGAGGACTTTGTCAAATGTCGCATTCACTCACGTGTTGTCGTTGTTGGCATGTACAGAGCCATCGGTCTCACCCCCATGACCTTCCGCGATTCAATTTTTCCTTTCTTTAATTAATTTTTAAATTTTAAATGTTTTTGCTGATGGTTTGTTTGTTGAAATGGATGAAATCAGGTGTTGGATTAAACTGTACCTTCCACAACACAAGAAAAAAAGAAAGATTGATCCATGGCGACTGCAATTTGTGGGAGAATCCCTCTCTCCCCCAACCATGTCTTCAACACCAAACCAGATTCTCTCCATTTTTCTCAATTCTTTCCATTTTTCTCAATTCTATCCCTCTTTGCAGATTTTGGGTTTCCCTCAAAAATCTTTGATTTCTTCATCAATTGTAAGATTAGGAGCAGATTTTCTTAGCTCCTTTAATTCAAAGCTTGGATATTTTTTAAATTTTAGGAATTTTATTATCTTTTTATCGAACTTTATGAAATTTAATGTATAATTGGCCTAGAAAATTGATTCTCTCTAATGGGTTTTTTTTTATTTTTTATTTTTTATTTTTTTGTAAAATGGAAGTGATCCGTACTTATTTTACAGAACATGAACTGCCAAGGGTCAACACTTGAGAAGGTGATTTGGGTGGAGGTCGTAAAGATGGGCATTTGTAAGTCTCATCAATCTTCAATTTTTATTTTCTTGCTTTTATTTTAGTTTCTTATTACTAATTTTAATTTTGGGTGTATTTTTGACAGTGGTTGTCAAAACGATGTTGTTTATGTTGTTTTGACAGGTTCGATCATGTATATAAGCATTTGATAGTGAATACATGCAGAATGCTTCACAATTGAAAAGAAGTAGAATGGTATATTCACGTAGTTGTCGAGATTTTTGTTGATCGCCTTTTGTTGTGATGCCAATTTACGGTTCTTATCATGTAAATTGGTTGACTAAAATGTTATTTTTTGTAAACCGATTTAGTTGTTGCTATTGTGTTCTTAAGCATGACGTCTGACTGCCAGTGACATATTCTATTGTTTTCTACAGCTACCAGTGCCTAAACCTCCAACAAAATGGAAACTTTTGCCAAAACAAAAGGTAGGAGCTGAACAATACCTTTCTTATTTTTCTTTTTTCTTTCTTCTTCCCCCCTTGAAGGCTTTGTTTTGGTTTCTCATATGTGGCCATTTGGGGATTGAGAAATGTAGTTGGATTTAAGAATTTTTGAAATTGGAACATCTTTAGGAAAATGACACAATTTGGGATTGGACCTGTCAATCCCTGTCAAGTAGTTAAAAGAAAAGTCATTGGTATCCACGGACAGGATTTCTATCAGTTTGAATTTTGTTACAATAAATTCCCTTCAGCATAATGTGTTCGACATTTCTGTTATTTATGGTGTTCTGTGTACTGATTAATGTTTTGTATCTGTTACCTTCCAATTGAAAATTAGGTCTCACAAGGAGAAGCGTTCCTCATATTCCCCTACTGAGAAATGTGTTCGGTGTGGTGGATGCTACAAAATAGAAAAATGTTGGCTTAAGCTTGGAGTCCAGGTAAATATGTGTTATCCCAAACGATGGAATTGCTTCATGGGTTTTTATATTTTCCGGAACAGATTTCCTGAAAATGTTTTTGTTCACCTAGGGGTTCAAGAATAGTCAACAAGAACTTTAATCTTTAGACATTCTCATTGTTGCAGTCTCTAATGATTTAGTTAATCCTATTAGCCTATTGTTATATCAATTAAAAGAGTGTTTTAGCCTATTGTTAGTGCTTTGAGTTATATACTTTCTCATCGTTATATCAATTTACCTCATTGTCATTCTGTGTAATTCATGTTTCTGGGTGTAAAATTGTTAATGCAATTTCACTTTTGCATCTAATTAGTGGGCCAAAAAGAAAATTTTGAACATTTAAAATCCTAATCATCTCCATTTCACCCAATGCATACATACATATGACATAAGGTTTTACATTAATGTCAAATTATGTAGCAGTAGCCAAATATAAACTTTTGAAATAACATTGCTTAAAAGAGCGGTTTTAATCTGAACTCAATTCTTTTCGGGGACATATTGTACGTTAATTCACATTCTGGGATGTAATATAGTTGGCGTGTTGGGGCTGATCGTGGAGATTTTGTTTACATTGTAATTGTTGTTGTAAAGAGTCTCTATATGCTGCTTAACGACTGGTATCGACTGATTCATGATCTGATTACTTGAGAAGGTCCATTTCTTGAAATAGCTTGCATCCTTATTGCTGGTTTGACAATCATTATGTGGTTAATTGTGGTTGTTTCAAGTATCGTGTTGGCAATTTTCATGAACATTTTAATTGGATTGTATGCATCAGTTGTTGTATATTAGGTTTGCTTACAACAGACTATAATCATTGTAATCTCCTTGGCCTTTGAGGACACATTATATGCGTGAACTACATGGAAACAGAACTTTTTTGGAAACCATCTCTTTCTAATCAAAGACGTTAAGTTTCTTTTCTCTCATTTTACAATGTGTTTATTGCCACCTTAAATGTATATAAAAGCAAAATTGCTTATCTTATCGATTTTATTCACTCATGTATCCCTGTCTGTTCATAATTGCATTGAATTTATTCAACTTAAATGTATTTTATTCATCCGATTACGCTTGAAACAGCTGGTTCCCGCAGCAACGCGCGGGTGTAATTTCTAGTAGTATCTATTCCTCGGCTCCTCTTTCGGTCTTTCCCTATTCATAAAAATACGTCATAAATAATTAATCCAAAAGCTTAAAATACGGGACAACTTAGTTAATCAAAACCAACATAAAACTCATTTTCTTGTTTGGTTTATTAAGTGGTCAAATATTTTAAGTCTCTGAATCTAGATTAATATAATATTATGGCTATGGTCCTCATAGAGGGATTTGTATCTCATCAGGGTCCAAATTGTGGGGATCATAGGATCCTCATATCTTAATCATTCATCGTGCATCATGCGGTCATAAATCATTTGATTTTTTATATATTTAAAATGAGGATCCTCTTCCCACGACAAAGGAAAATCAATTTCAGACAAATTAAACAAGGATGGATATTTTGAGCAATTCTCCTCAACTGGTTTACTCTCCAAATTCCCATCACATGTTTTCTTAATCTGCCGATTTTGGTACTGAACTGGAAGGCCCTGAGAAAATCAGTCCTCTCTCGTATGGTATCTTGTTAATAGTTGCATCTTTCTGGATGAGAGGTTCCGACCCCCGAGCAACGTGAGGTATAACGACTTCCAAAGCTGCTTGTCTTTCTTTCAAAGACGCCCAAGTTACCACATACAGACCAGCAATAATTAGTATTCCACCTAAGACACTGTTTTCATAAAAAGGAGACCAAATAAGCATCACTCCAACAAAACGCCAGCTTGGCCACAATTAATCAAGTACTGGATGTGAGCGAACCTTCCCAAATAAACTGGGCTTCCAAGGAAAATTCTTGACAAAAAAGCCGAAGCTGCAGGTTGAAGTGGATTATAAAGAGCAACCAAAGCAGGCCCCAAAATCTTATTGCTCCACGTCAGCAATCCATAATTAAGGGCAGATGCAACAGTTCCCTGAAAACCAATGAGTTATTTTAACCACTTCTAACAATTGAACCAACTTTGAACTGGCCATATAAAATGTGCCCATCTTCATATTTATTCACATTAGATATATTAGAAAAATCATATCACAGAGGAGAAAACTGAAAAGAAATGTTAAAAGCATTATTATCGACTGTCAGATATAAAATTTGCAGTAAAGTTACTTGACATATAACTTGTACGTAGAGAACAAGATGATCTTTATCATCAAGATGACATGATGGTCTTTCTAGAATTTTATGAGAAGCACTCTCTTATCTGTTGAATATGCCGCACAGGGTTTTCATCAAAATATATGGTTTCTAATCTTTTAAATAACTAGTACATCAAGTATGAAACCACGTCAGTCAACCTTCTTCTTTGTAGACAGAACGAATTAAGAGAGCTGATGAAATTTTGTAGATAACAAAAGATTGGGCTACATATATCACTAATTTGTAACTTACAGCGTAAATAACAGCAAAAAACTCAGAGTGTGTCAAGCTCCAGTCTGTTGACTCGTTTGTCATAAATAATGCAGTAACCACCATCAATAGTGCACCGAAGAAGTATGAATATGCTGTAACTGACAGGTTGGCAGGATATCTTTTCAAAAGTGGAGCCTGAAAGTTATGAAATGTTAGGTATAAAGGTATCAGAAATTGAAACGCATGATATGATAACTATATATATGTGGGTATCCTAGCGGTTGAGTAAAAATTTATGCACCAATGAAAGGTCAGTCTACCACCCTCTCCATATGAATTGTCATGTCAATGGACAATGTTTAACCAGAGCAAATCATAGGAAGCAAATTTAGTTTCGAAACCACAGTGAATTTTACCCTTCAAACAATGTAAGAATTTTACCCTTCAAAAGAATGAAAGCATACACAAGTTACACAACCATTTTCAACAAAGATGAATTGAAGGTCAAACTCCTCTCAGTACAATAGTTAGAATGCACCTACTTTGAGCAATGGCTAATTCTAACGATGGCTTAAGGAATTGGGGGGAACATCTAGGACAAGCAAAATAGGGCATAACACGAAGGAGCCACCGAATTCCAACAAATAATCAGCAAATTAGGCATGTAAAGGAAGCAAGGACTTAATACACAGTAAAATCTGATGCTTTCTATCTAGAGGAGTGATCTCTAGGATTGCAGAGCTAGTAGTCAATGTAACCCTGATCCTACCTAGCAACGAACTTTGATTTAACCTTTCCCTTAATTTAAAAACCCTAACTTCACAAACTCCCAATAATTTGCAACCCTGATCCTAATTTCCCCAAATATGATAAGATATAAGCATGTCTAAGCACACTACATATGCACACATAAACTGGAATAAGTTTATCTTGGGTAGCCCTCCTACCTTCTTCATTTCTATTTCAAAAATATCAAGTAAGATGGTGAAGGTTAGAAAAGTAGATGTGGGATTTCCTTTGAGAAAGGAGCGATAGGGGAAGCAGGAGAGATGTTGAATAGAGATCAAAAGATAGATTTGAGCTAGCTATTGGAAATTAATTGAAACGAAAAGGCCTTGTCAGGAAAGTAGTTGTGGACAGACGAAAGTTTGCTATTGCAAAGTTTGCAAAGTCATTAAAAAAGAAGGCCTCGTTAGGAAAATGGTTATGGAGTTACCCTCAAGAGCTGGACTTATGGTGGCGCTCTTATCATTTGAAGTAGTACAGAGTGACGGGTAATGTTTTGCAGGTGCAAACTGAAATCTTACTGTCATAAGGAAAAGCACACCATGCAACAATTCACAAGGAATTCTCTGCATGAGAGTTACGTGGTTTAACAAACTTTTGCCTATGTCCCTAAGAAATATAATTGGTACAAGACATGTTGTACCACTAAAGTCCACTAATGTCCAAATATAATTCTACAATTTCTTGCTTAGTTGCGGTATGCTTCAAGAAAGTATTTATGCTTCATTCTCTTCTCATTGTTATGTTTTGCATAAGGAGGCTACTACTTTTATTTGGAGGAAAAGGCTACTACTTTTATTTGGAGGAAAGTGTTAAAATCGCATTCAAAGTAAAGTAGGTTTGTCTGAGAAACAGTTTCTCTTGAAGGGTGGAGTTTAGGGAGTTGTTGCTAAGAAGCTACTACTCTTTGGCGATGTGCAGTTTTGGCTTCTTTGGACTGTCTTTTTGCTAAGATAATTTTCGGTATTCTTCAGGTTAGTTTTCATGGAATTCTTGTCCATCGTTTCTTTTTAGTTTTCATGGAATTCTTGTCCACCATTTCTTCCTTTTTTTTATTATATTAAATTTCTTATTTTCTATCGACAGACAGGTAGAAGAAGAATAAAATGGGAGAAGGAGACATAAGAATGACAAATGGAGAATGAAAAAGTTATATACACAACTCTCACTTAAGGATGGGCAATGGTTATGCGGGTGGGTAACCGCGGTTAATTTACCCATAACCGTTTATGCTCATACCCGCATAACCGTTTACCCGTTGGGTAATTGCCTAAACGGTTATATCCATACCCATAACCGTTTATAAACGGTTAACCATACCCATAACCGCATACCCATTTAACCGTAACCGTTTAATACCCGTTTACCCATTTATCCTTTTTAATCCGTTTATCTTTTTTTTTACCATTACCCTTTTTTCACCCGTCTATATGTTTTTTAACAACTTGAAAATTAAAAAAAAATTGTCATAATTTTTTTTTTGACAATTAAACACCGTTATAGGTACTACATTCATCATACATTTCCATATTTTAATTTTTTAAGTCCTTATACCATTCCAATAATTGAAATAATAGTTTACGGACGATATTTTTAATTGTTACCAATGAGGGTAAATATAATATTTGCTAAGTATTATTAGGTTACAAAAATTGTTTAGAAGACATTTTTGTCAAAGCATTTATGTCAATTTCATGGTTACCCGCAAGAAATTTAAATTAATTTGGCCAATTGCTTGATGATGAGAATCATCATTCCTGTAGTAGTGTTATTGAGAGAAGGACCGATGAATTCCTTGCTAATTTATTGGGTGCTAAGTATTATTGGATCGAGAACATGGTTTGTGTTAGTTTTACATATATAAAATAAATGGGTAAACGGTTACCCGTTTATAACCGTGGTTAATACCCATAACCGGCCATTTAAATTTCGCGGGTAAACGGTTATACCTATAACCGTTTATTTATTTAAATGGTTACCCATAACCGTAACCGTTTAATTTAAATGGATGGGTAATCGCGGTTACCCATAACCAATGGGTATTTGCCCATCCCTCTCACCAAACTGAAAACAGTAGCACCAAACAAGCTCCAGTAGCACTTTAAAAGAAGAAAAATCACACTTAAAAAATAAATGAGATAATTATATTCGACAAATAAAGATAAAGAGTATATATTCATGCACCTGGAGGGCTAAAAAAGCGGCCATGCACATACAGTTCCCCAATAAGCATAAAACTCCAAGATGAAAATGATTTAGCCCAAACTCTAGAAAGCTAGACATCAACCATCCAGCTGGCTCTAGTTGACCTTTGGCACTTATTTCGCTCTGTGCTGCAAAGTCTGGTTCTGTATATCCAATCAAAGGAGGTCCAGGAAATGAGACCATTAATATGGCTCCAGAAACACATAAAAGTGCACCACCAACCTTGGCCTGCCCTTCAGTTCTAAGCAAGTTCACTCTTTCTGTACTGCATGAACAAGTTCACATATGATATTGAACAAGTAATATCTCATACAAGTTAAACATGAAAATGTGTTTATCTCTAAGTATAGACCGATATACGGGTGCATAGCACCAACCTAAGTAGATAAAGTCGAAAAAAATCAAATTGACCCCATTAAAACAGCAAGGATAAGCGTGAAAACTGGGATAGCAAGCTGTATGGCCGCAGCATAAGTTGGATTTGTGTAGCCAAGACCAATAAGAAACAAAAGCTGGTTGCCAAAGATCCTATTTCATATAAAGAAGCAGCAAATGTCAAAGAGGTGCTGTGCTGCATCAATTGTAGCAGTAGATTATAAATAATCAGAATATGGCCATAAAGTAGTATCTTGTGTTACCCAGTTAACCCAAGAAAGAAAAAGGACATGAAGAGGCGTCTATTCATTGGTTGTCGAATCTGTCTGCAACGCAATACATACAAGAGAAGAGAAATGTTAGAGGATGTTGTAATCATCATGATTCATGTGCACAGGACAGGACAGGGATGAAGAAGATTAATTCAATTGCATAATTAATTTCCAACATTATAGGTTAACTGCATCGATAATAGATTATTAGACAAAATCAAGCTAAATAACCAGTCTCGGAGTCTCTTGTAGTATAATCTAATAATTGTCATGGTCTGAGCATCCAATACACTCCAACACACCCACCCCAACCCACACGACACGACACGATGAGTAAATGATCACATGAGCAACATATGAGCAGCATGTGAGTATAAAAAGGATGATGCAATGTGAGGAAATTGATAATTACATGATATCCTCCGCTGAAGAGCTGAACCGCTGCCATGGCCTCATGTGTCCTTCCAAACATCACCTCCTCCAACTCCAACCCCTGCCGCCGCTGCCATCTTTTTCTCTCTCTAAGCAGGAGAAGGAGAGGGAGAGAGATTTGGTTAATTGGTTAAGGAGGAGGAGAGGGAGAGAGACTTGGTTAATTGGTTGGGTTAAGAAAGACAAGATTGGTTTGACTTTGTTTAATGTGAATCTAACTCAATCGGTATGTGGATTGTGGACGGGAC